AAGGACACAACACCAACACGAGCGCAGAGCGAAGGATCCTCCAAGGGCATTTTTTCGGATTTTGGGTCTAGCAAAAACTCAATGAAAATGTTGTCCAAAAATGGAGCCTTACGCCTTTAGCTAATTAGTCAACCAGGGGACCACACGCAGCAGCAGCAACAACACACGATAACAACAACAACAACAACAACAACAATCGGGCACCAATTAAATGCTTAAGCTGAGTTTCTGGTCTGCTTGTCATAAATTTTGACTGATTATGCGTATTCGTCTTTGTCGCTGCACTGTCCCAAGGAACCATTGTCCCTAGCTAACAGTAACCCTACTTCTGCCAGTGCTGACACAAAAAAAAGCTAGGTCAAGTGAAGAAGTAACCAAAAATAAAGTTAAAGTATAGAGCAAGAAAAAGCCTATGGTTTTAGAATAATAATTTATATATGTATTAAATTAAATATATATTTATAAAAACCAACTAAACGAATCTTTAAATATAACTATTAAAAGCCAAAAGAAATATAAAAAACGAGCCAAGTTCCCGCTGAAAATAGCTAAATATCGGACCTCAAACAATTTCAGCTTTAAGAAAGCCAAAGTTGGCGGGAAAGTAGCATCAGTATCAACACTGACAGCTATCTCTATCACTTCCCACCCACCCCTCCTTTACACATCCTTCTCTTTCGCTTCCTTTGGCTTGCTTTTTGCGTTTCAAGTGAAGAAATTTCTGCGTTTTGCCACGCCCCACTCTGCCGCATCGCCCCTACCCCTGCTCCAGCCCCTCGAGCCAGTGTCCAAACGCAATTCATCATTCAATTAAATTGACCGCAGAGCCGCATTTCAAAGTTCGTCGACATCTTCTTCGAGTGTTTGTTTTAAAGGTCCACGGCAAAGCCTTTAATGCAATTTTTGGCCGTTGCCATCGATTATCCTTTCAATAAAACGCCCCGAAAATAAAAACGAAATAAATAAAAATCCCACCACTCGATGCCACGCATTTGCTTTTGTTTTTGTTTTTTGTTTCTTTTTTTTTCGTTGTTGCTCTCTTCTTCTGTGTAAATCTCGCGCTTGATTTATGCTCTAGCTTAAAAGCCAATTGATGTGCAAAGCAAAGGAGCTGTTAAACTGGACGCCATTTTTGGTTTGAGTCGAGCGAGCTGAGAGATCCCGTTGCATATTCTGCACGTACACTTCCCCACTCTCTCTCTCCCTCTCTCTCTCTCTTTGTCTCGCTCCCACTCCCGCTCAGTTGGCGGCGGCTTAAGCGTTGCTTTGACACAAAGTCAAAAAATGCCGCGCACATGCCAAGTGCCAAGCATTGCAGGCAGAGAGATATGCCCTTTGCACGTCCCTCTCCCACTTTACCACTTTGCTGCTGCACTCCTCTCTCTCTCTCTCTCTCTCTCTCTCTCTCTTTAACTCCTTGCAGCTTAGTATGCCAGCGGCTCAGCAAGTCGACTCAACAGCCAATATACTGTAAAGTGATTTATGTCATGTCCATGCATAGCATGCAAAAGTGCGTCTCTCTCTCTCTCTCTCTCGCTCCCTCTCTCTCTGTCTTTCTTGGGTGAACTCTAATTGAGGCGGTGTTTGCCTTGAGGACAGCTAAACAATTTCAAAAATATTGTGAAATTCAACTAGTTGTCAACGTAATATGAAAGGCAAACACTTTTATACATATCTATACGGATATGTATGTACGTTATATGTATATGTATGCATTTATATCAGTCTATCAAATGCGCAACAGCCTGAAACGCCTTTGATTAATTAACACGGTCGAACATAGCTGATAACAAAATCGAAGCAAAAATATACAAAACGAAAAAAAGAAGGCAGAACACTGCAGCTGGGCATTACTGACTGGAAAATACCTGCTCAGAGCGTACTTTAGAGTATATAGATAAAATGTATAGGTAGTGGAGCTAAGTATCAGATTAGGTATTTTTCTAGACCCAGACCTAGACCTAGACTTTGATCTGTTATACAAAGAAATAAATACTAAGCAAAACCAATATGCTCTCTTTTCACTTCTTCGACATATCTAAAAATACCCTTAAGCTTTAATAAACGAGCCCAACATCGAATTGAGATGTTTTTCTTTTTATTTGTTATTGTTCACGATTATTTTGTTTATTGATTTTTGATTTTTCTGTGCACCACACACAAAAAATGGGAAGGGCTATGGGAATAGACGACTGATTGGGTGTTTGGGAGTAAACAACGCAAGTTAGCTAAGCCTTATAGTTTACTCGGAGCAAATTAGAGCTTGAAAAGCAAAAATTGAAGTAGGAAACGAACTCAGGTTTTGATATAGTATGAAAAGTAAAAACTTGAGATATTTATAGTTCTAATAAATAAATTAATATAATAATAATAATAATGACAAAATAATTGTAAGTAAAAAATTAATAATTATAAATATGTAATTATTTGTAGTATATTAATATTAATTTTCTTTAATATAATTGTATATCTATATTAATTATGGAATATATATCTTAATATTAAGTTCTATCTATATGGATAATATGTTATGTATTTTTATGTATTTTTAAAGCAGACTTTGAACGAACCTTTGACTCATTTGATATTAGCCTAAGTCTATCTGAATTGAATTGTTTTTATTCATAAAAAAAACTCTAAAACCATTTAAAATATTTATAAATAAACACATATACATTTTATACTATGCTTATATTACACAATATCTCTAGAGCTCTTCAGCTCTTTTGCAATCAAATGAGATTAGTTGTGGATGTCTGAAATGTGCCTCCTTCTACTTGTTTGGATTCTGTGTTTACTTAACTGGTAGACAGGTAGAGAGCTGGCTACCTGTCAGATCTAAGAATTGTGTGTGATATTTTACAGATCTAAATGTATTTTACTGTATCAATTGCTAGGCTTCTACTGCTACTTCTACTTCCACTATGTCTTCTTCTTCGTCTTCTGGGCTGAGACATACATCAATTTGGGTCTTTGTACAACAGCTTGAATAATTTGTTTGTGCTTCTTGTGGTTGGGTTTTCGGGGGTCTCGAATTTGAGTTTTTAATTAACGCCACGAATTTGTTTGCTAGCGCTTGCAATTGATAGAGAAAGAGCAAGATGAGACAGGTAGAGAGAGAGAGCTGAGAGGTCGAGTTTTTTATATTTTATTTTCATTTGATTTTTGGGAGTTCTCCTTTTATTTTGCTTTTGGGGCAAACGGTTGCCATGGCAAGTTTCATTTCGGCAACATTCTTTGCTGGCTAATTCAACATTTTGCATGCTGCAACAAATATATATATAGCGAATTCCACCAAAAAGCAGCGTCCTGACAACAAAAAACTAATAAGCAACTGCAGAGAGGCGAGCTGAGAATGCGGAGGCGGGGCGTGGGCGACTGTTACAACAGGTGAGTGGGCACACGTGGCAGCCGTGGCGGCAGCAGCAGCAGCAGCAGCGGCAGCAGCGGCAGCAGCAGCCAGGAGCCATCTTATGTAGCTGCAAATGTTTAGCTGGCACGCGGCTCAATCTCTGTCATCCTCTGAGAGTTATGCTTTATACAAATTCCACTGTTGGCCGCCGTCTCCCCCACGCCCCGCATTTGACTTTTGGCAATAACTGTGAATGGCTGGTTGCCAGCGCAACAGCAAATGCAAAGGGGGCGAGAAGCTGGCTGCGCCGATTTCTTAGCTCTTGTTTTTTCTCGACTATCGCCTATCGATAGGCGCCGCATAACAGGCGCCAAAAACAACTTCTGTCTATCGACTTGAGTGCCTCCCCCACCCCATTGGCCCAGCCGACCCACACACATAAAGTGCTTACGCTTTTGTGGGCGGCGCTTGTACGCACAGCAAACGCCTACTATCTCGCTCTGACTTGCAGCTGCGCAGTAGTCAGAGTGCGACAGCTAGCTATGCTCAGTGCTGCTCGCGTTAAGATGGCAGCTGCATGCTATAGTTGTCTCTCTTTTGCGCACGACACACACCCGCCTTGCAAATCAAAGCAGTCGGCAGATAGAAAAGCAGATAACGCGCGCCTTACCCGCTTTTCGCTTTTCGCTTTTCGTTTTTCACTTGTCGATTGTTTGGCACGCCAGCCAGCCAGCTATTGGCAGAGAGGGGGGTGAGCGAGTGGGTGGATGGGTGTGTTGGGTGTTGGCGATTGAAATCATTGTTGTCGTCAGCTTCAGCGTCACCGTCAGCGCTAGCGCCGGTGTTGGCATCGGCGTCGGCGTCAACGTTCTGCGTCAGCGTCAGCGCTAACGTTATCATCATCGAGTCAATTCGTTTTGATTTTTTCGCATTTGTCTCAAATGCGAGCGAGTCGCTGAACAAACGCTACGCGTAACGTTACGTATCGCAAAACGCCGTCGCTAAAAAGGCTAAGAAACCGTTATACGGGTTAACATAAACCGGAAGCAAAGTCAATTCCCATCGGACGCTCAACTAATTTTGACATCAAAAATGCCAAAATGTGCAAAAAGAAGTGCTTTCTAAGCGTGTGTCTGTGTGTGTGGGCGTGTGTTAGTAAACGACAAATGCAGCTGCTATAATTGATTCTCAGCGTAGCATACATATACATACATACATATATATTCAAACAACACCAACAGCAACAACAAGATAACCGCAGTCTAGCTAAATTGCGGGACTTTTGTCCAGCTGTCAGTTGGTCAAACATTTCATCAATAAACGATACAATTTCCGTTCTATTGCGTGCTTACCTTCAACGTGTCTCCGAGTGTGTGTGTGTGTGTGTGTGCGTGAGTGTGCCTGTGTTAGTGTTAATGTGCGTGTTAGAAAACTTTTCAACTTCCGGCCAAGTGACTTCGTTTTAATTTCTTTTGGCATTCATTTTTGTTTTTATGGTCAAAGGCATTTAATTAATTTTACTATGGCAATTTGAACGTCTTGCCTTTGGCCTGAACTTTGACCCCGAAGGCGGTTAACTTTTGGCTACGGCCACAGCTGCTCCTGCTCCTGCTCCTGCTGCCACTGCCGCTGCTGCTTCAGCTGGCTTGCTCTACATACGAGTCCAGACTTTAGCCACACGGAAAGGCAACGGGGTCGCCAGGTGAGTGACGAAAGCCAAGACTTGGCTAAATTTCAAATCAGCAGTTTGAGCAGCTACAAATTAGATTTGTTTTGATTTGTCGCCTGAAATAGTGAGAGAAGATTTATTGTTGGTTTTGCGGTAGAAACTTTGATTAAGTTTTGTGTATTTAGTAAGTAGCAGTAAGTGATACTAAATTTGATTGCGTTACTAAGGAATCTTCATTTTCTTGTTCTAGTTTCTAATGATTGCTTACAATCAAATTTGGCAGCTGCAAATGATTTTTATTTTATTTCGAGAGATTTAGTATTAATTATATTAATTATATATAAATATTTTGTACATGCCTGAGATAGGAAATAAGGCAACAATCTAAAATTTATAGCAATCGGAAAGACCTATCTAGATTCTCATTCAAATATTGTTTATAGTATGAATACATTGTAATGCTTTATTTATTCGAGTTTTTCATTTATATAACTATCTTTTATATAACTATTTTATTTTAATTTAAATGCAATGAGGATTTAGTTTATTATTTCATTGATTCGTTAAAGATACACAGATGTGAGAGGCCCATAAAGGAGGCAAGACTAAGTTTACGTTAGACATAATAATGTTCATATTCTATTCTAAGTAAAGTTCTCTTCAGCTACATATCTAGCTCTTTCTTAGCTTTGAACTTATTTGCTGTCTGTATATCCCTTCCTTTCATTATAATTAATTTTCATATTCTAAATCAAGAGAGTAGAGACTTGGAATCTATATATATCCAGATTTCCAACATTTAAATTAATAATATTTCTCCCGTTTCAGCGCCGCCAACGTCAAATGATTGACATGTAAACGAGTTGCACATGAAATTTACTACACTGTGATAGACGAAGTATACGAGCAGACATCCAATTGGAGTCTGCCCCAACAACTGCGATTCAATTTAATTGAATTTCAATAAGAATTAAGTAAACACTGAGAGAAGAGAAAAGGCGACAAACTGTCGACGCTATCCATACGAAACTTTTCGGCAAGCATGCTGAACAATCTTGGGGCCAATGTGCTGGGTAAGTGCAAAGTAAATATAAGAGAAAGAGAGAGCGAGAGAGAGAGAGAGAGAGAGAACTATACAAGATAGTTGCTAATATATAATAATAAATGCATTAAACTCGCTTCGATTGGCCATAATTAAACTAATTTTTTGAACATACTGTGTGTGTGTGTGTGTTTGTGTTTGTGTGTGTGTGCACCTTACTTCCGACTCACAGAGTCTCAGAGAGCAATCCCTACTGCTAAATGGCCTATAATTGATATGTCTAAGCGAGGCTGCTGCTGGCCTGGCGCTTGCATTTAGCAATAATTAAGTTGTATTTAACTAAATTCTTTATTATTATGATTAGCTGTAAAGCAGGTGTGCACACACACACACACACGCACATACACACACATACACACACACACACCTGTTAATTGGCATAATTGCCCTCTTACAGGCTGCTCCCCAAACATAATTATCAGTTTATATTTATGCGCCACTCATATATCTATGGCAATTTTTTCCAAACCGCATTGTTGATCAATTTTTCAAGCACTTTCAATTTCGGCAATCAAATTTTATAGCTGCAAATGCAACTTGCTGCAACTTTTGCTGGCGCTGCTGCCGCTGCTGCTGCACTCGAATGAATTATGTGGCGCGCTTTTATTGAATATATTTTTCGCCTTTCGCCTTTCTGTAATTAATTACTTTTATTAATTTATTACCATGCAATATGAGCAAGTGCTCTGCTGTGCGGCTAACGCGGCGTATGCGCAATTTATGCTTTTGCACTTTTTTCCCAACTGTTTCATTGTTTTCGCTGCATGCGACGACAAAGAGAATTATATTCCATATAGAGATAATTTGTGTAAGAGTTGTAAATTATTGCAAATATTGTTATTTAATAAATAATTATTCGTTTCCAATAAATAGTCAAATATTTATGGCTTGGAGAGAATCTGGTAAAAATATGTCTTTCGTAGAAATTCTTTTGATATGTAAATATTTTTTTGAATTAAAATATA